CTCGACCAGCGATGTAGCGTTTCTCCCACTATTTCCACTTTAAGTGGTCGAGTTACGACTACTGCCTGGTCCTCGACCAGCGCTGTAGCGTCTCTCCCACTACTTCCACTTTAATTGGTCGAGTTACAACTACTGCCTGGTCCTCGACCAGCGATGTAGCGTTTCTCCCACTATTTCCACTTTAAGTGGTCGAGATACGACTACTGCCTGGTTCTCGACCAGCGATGTAGCGTTTCTCCCACTATTTCCACTTTAAGTGGTCGAGTTATGACTACTGCCTGGTTCTCGACCAGCGGTGTAACGACTCTCCTACTACCTCTATTTCAACAAAGTTGATAGCTGGTATACAATATCGCCAAGTGTTTTACCCAGAGATCCCTTACCACGACGACACCTAGCGTTGAAACCTATCCTACTGTCCCATTACGCCGTCTTGACAAGGCCTCCGAGGAACCTAAGGGAACTTCGGCTGGGGACGCCCAGAGCCGATAAGGCCTTGTCGGATCCTGTAGAGACAAAAGACCATGTAAGATCTGGTCGTGTAAGAGTTCTCGCCGTGCGTATTAACCAAGCCGTGTAATCGGAAACTGAGCTTTCCAACTTCACGGCTGGGGGCTAGGATCAGTGTTTGTTCAACCAAGGCAGGTCAAGGGTCCAAGAGCCTTATCCTCCGAGAACGATTCTCCGATGACAAGGCTGGGGGCTAGGGAGAGTGTATGACTCTACAAACTGACTGATCGAAGTCGGTAAGAGAGAAGACGCTCATACACAAAACATTGGTCGGTAAATTTAATTCATTTTCAATTTACCATACATATTATAACATTATCACCCTTTGGGCATTCGCTCGGGGGCTATTTCTATCTAATATTCTTTTCTGAGTATTGATTTCAGGAAAATTCTATTCGACATTGACGAAGACTCTATGTCTCTATGGTTCTACACCAAGATCGACTATGGCGAGTACGACAAATGTTGACAAGGCTCCGTCGCAGACTCTACGCCTTCTCGATCGCTCGAGAACGGTTGCTGGATCTCGACAAGGAATACGGAATGAAGAGATGGTGTACCAGCCGAGATAGAATTTCTTGACTTCAATCCAAATTCTCGATTACAGCAAGACGGGAGACTTAGTCGTACGCTCTGTACTTCCTTGGTTGACATCAGAGATTGACTTAGACAAACCCTTTTGGTGCCCGCACGAGGCTGATAAAGAAAGTCTAACGTTATCTCTAAACTCACCGAGAACGGTAACGTGAGCACGACAACAGTTACTCCAGGGTCTGCGGTTGAGAATATGAATTCGTTCATTTGCATTGAAGTCGGGGGCTACTGTCAGGGTTATGGATACCACATACCTAATAGTAGTTGACTAAATCTCGGCAGGACCCACCACATACCATGTCTTATACAGAAACTAACTTCAGTTATGGAGGGAGTTCCGGATAAGGAAAGACAACCAGAGTTTTACATGGAAACGACAAGGACTACTCGGATTGTATCCATATTGGTTTCCCTAGTTCTACTTGGACAATGGGACACCTATAGGTATAAATACAAGCCCCCCTAGGAGGACAGTGGGACACCCACCATGACAGGATCAACACAGTCACCACGATCGACACAGACGACCACCTCAATCAACAACCACCACAATATACGGAACAACAGAAGCCACAACATACAAGCCAACATATGCCAAGACAAGCCGCCGGATATCGACTTCAGGGATAGGCATGGCTATTCCCCTACGGTGTCTCCGGATACCGTCAGGAGAGACGAAAGCGCTATCTCTGATCTCGCCGGACACGGATTCGAGGAGGAAGGCTACCCTGTTGTCGACTACGAGTCAGACCTTCAGACCGACATGTCGACAACAGTTAAATAGGCTACCCCACATATTGTACTGGTGTGATTATGGTGAATAAAAGCAATACCGGCTCCGGCCAACAGGATGTAGGGTTATTACCTGACAACTCAGGGGCCCGAACCTGTATAAAAATCCTTGTCTCCGTCTCTTTCACCTCAGTCTCGCGTATATCCTAGCACCGACGATCCCCATACTATGCAAATACCAGAATTGCGACATCAAACGTCGATAGTTGCGTATCAAGTAGGGGGATTTTGGTGCTTCAGGATTTCGACTTGATGGGTTTAAGAGATGGATTCTCCAATACCATGCTAGTTTTCATTATCGACGAGGATTTCTTGTGCACGTACATTCACTGACGTGCTAGTACCAAGTAATAACAAACTACTCTTGTTTTAAAATATACTCCTAGTACTCGATTAGACACTAGCTATCTAGTAGTATAAATCTAGACTGATTTGATAGTACTATATGATGTTTTTTTCGAGTACAAGGTTTTCTGTATTTTAGAACGATGAGATATAACAAGAAAACATATGGCTACGACCACATCGTCTGCATGCATGTACGTAACCCCCTGCATAAGTGGCCGAATTAGCTCTTGCTGTGGTTGATGGCGCCGCACTTGTTCCTGATCTCCCCCTTGCTCCCCACCGGCATGGGCAGCTTGCTGAGCTTGAGCAGCGAGGCGGCGAAGTCGTGGTCCCAGAGGGCGGCGTTGTCGGCGTACTCGCGGACGTGGCCGCGCGCCTCGTCCTGCGTCAGCAGCTGCCAGTCCGAGTTGAAGTTGTTTTCTGATTTGCTACTACTGCACTATTGAGTTGAGTTGATTCTAAGTAATTGGATTGGATCATTTTGTTGTCGCGTGTGCTTGCTTATTTTGTTGCACAAGCTTCCTAGTTATTGCTACTGCACTATTCCTCCGTTAAATGCGCCTAACTTGTTGTTTCTTGTTCAGTCCGCCGCCACCTCCACCCCACCATGGGCTTCCTCCGCACTCGCCCAGCCCCGCTATTTCTCCACAAGAGCTACCAGGGTAAAATTACTGCTCTAATTGCCTTGCCTATCTGCTACCTCTGTCCCCAAATCCAAATATGAGGGAGTTTGGCTCTGCATTCGCATTGCCAAAATCCCTTGTATTTCTTTTCGGGGACGGATGAAATCGATTCTGCATTTGCATCCACGATTCCTAACTGGATGAGAGAGGAGTGACCTGGAGAAGCTACCTGTGATGCTGGAAGTTTTACCCCCTCGTTGAGACTTGAGAAGGATTTATTGTTTTGTGCTGACAAGCAACATTTTGATGCTTTTCTGGTGCAAAAGGTTATGATGAGGCGCCTTGAGCAGCGCATTAGGAAACAGGAGAGGGCGGCAGGAAGTATGCATGGATGGCGTATTGCTCATCTGAAGGCAAACCACAGGCTAGATTTGTTAAAATCAGACATGAGGTAAGAATGAAGAATTTTGTGAAAAAAACATGTTTGTTTAGGTTAGGTTTTGACAAAGTTACTATGTTTTGACAGGGGTGACCAACTCAAGGTGACCGCGCACATGTACAGGGGGACCTGTTCGTCATATTTGCCGGTGCACACACGGTGATGAGTTTGGTCGCCGGCGCCATAAACTTCAAGGAATCCAAGGAGGCCCCTCCGCCTGAGAAGATGCACCACCCCCGGGAAGCCCTGCAGGTCTTGGGCTCTTGGCTATTATAGATCGATGTGGACCTGATGTGGGAAAAAACCTGTTATGTAACTAAAGGTTAAGACAAGTAAAAAAGAAAACCTAGCTTTCAGATCTACAAGAGAAGATAGAGCAAATTCGAGTAGAGGTGTGTGGGTACAACGAGAGAGAGAGAGAAAAAAAAGAGGGTTCTGGTGCGTCGGCAAGGATGCTCACCGCGCAGGAACGAGCTCGGCGGAGGCCGAGGGGATGGGGGCGGCGCAGGGAGCAGCAGGACGCCGTCCGGAACAGCTGCTCGCCGGCGGTGGCGGGGATCGGCTCCACGGCGGGGCGGCGGGCCGTGGGCGATCAAAACGGGTTCGGAACATCCTCTGAACTCGTGGAGCCCACATCCAGTTTTTGATGACGTGTTCACGGTTTTGCTTCCAAATTTCTAAAAATTTACCCAGATGTAATTCGTAGTGTAAATAAACTATAATGTAATTTTGAACCCTTATGTAAAATTAAATTTGTGTAATGGAGTATTACATTTATATTTGATGGGTGGCCTAATCTACGAGTTTTTCTTTAAAGAACCGACAGCGGGAGCTCTGCCGAATAAAAGAACCTTGGAAGACTAACCCTATTCTTTTCTCCAACAAAATTGATAAGCTTTTGGATACTCGTGGCACGCTTTTCTAAACTGCTAAACGGTAGTTTCATGTGAACACTTTCTATATAAAAGTTGTTCTAAAATATCAAATTAATATATTTTTCAAGTTTGTAATGATTAGAACTTAATTAATCACATAATATTATCACCTCGTTTTACGTGAAACACTTAATCTTCATCTTAAAGGAAGATTCAAACACCACCTAAGTTTCTCTCTCCTGATTAGTATTCCCAGAGGTCTCCTTTGCCTTTTGTGCCGTATTTGTTTTGGCTATCTTGTTTTCCCAACATCTAATCGAGAATACTGTGTCGGCCGGGTTGTCAAGTTTCCCGGTACAAATCAAGTCCAAAGGCACAGTTTCTGAACAGGTGATCAGTATCCTCAAAAGCTTCTGAGCAAAGAGAGCATATCCAATTGCACGGCCACAAAGTTTATGGTTTTGTGATAAAATTGTTAGCTATCCTTGCAATTTTGTGAAATGCAAGACTAAACTTGCGGTGAGGCAAATTCAGCAATGGATACTCTCAAGTCTGAACCCCAAAAACATGTTCTTGGGTGAGGTTGCAGTACAGTGCCACTACGCCTGGTGTTTAGAGAAACATTAGGATATAACTAATCCATATCGAGTTAGTATTTCTTTATCTCTATCCATACAAATTATATATATACACCGGTCCCAGAAGCTTAATACAGTAATCCACATATACGGTAGACATCTCCAGCACACGCTATCAAATGCCAACGAGACAAAAAGATCATAAGCTGGAGAAAATGTGAGAGACATGACAGATATTAGATGAACACAAGGAATCTGGAAATCTGGCAAAAGCTTTTTCTCAGTCTTGGCATCCTCTCTGAAGAGAGATTACACAGGGCATTCATTCAGTTTGTCAATGACCCCCAAAAAAAAGGTTAAAATGCAGAGACTAAACTTTACAATGGTGCATCAGCTGACTACATCTGTTGTACATTTTGGTGGTTGTTCTTCTGGCACATGAACAGTTACCATTATACAACACATCACATGCAAAAAAAAAAAAAAAAACAAGAAAGAAACAAAAAAAAACGAAATATGATGGAAGGGACCAGAAGTGTTGGCCAATTCCTCAGGTCCCTGCAAACGTTGTGCAACGAAAAAATCCAGGGCTCAGGGAGGGCAAGCCACCATGGCTGGCTGCCATCCTTGAAGAACAATGGTCAAAGTCCCCCTAAAACGCGACAGGATCACGCTGCCCAGATGCCTTATTATTGTTGTCCCTTGCTCGAGAGCCTCCGCTTGTATCGCTTCAGCACGGAGGCCAGGTTCTCCTTCCCCTTGGGGAAGGCGACATCCCCAGCTGCGGTGCCACTCCTGCCCTTGCGCCCTGAGACTGCGGTCTCCACATCCTTGATCATCTCCAGGACCACAGATGCGGTGGTGAAGGAACCTCGGATTTGCCTTGGAATGGAGTTTGTTGCTACCAGGCTACTGTGGCGCAGGCTGTTGAGCACCCGGATATCTCTGTGAAGGCACGCACACGCGCTGAGAGCACTCCGAGGCTTGGAGAATGCAGGATCCAGGATGCCCTGCATTACATTTGAGCGAAAAAAATGATTGACAGAGTTAGTCTTGTACGTTGAAAATGAGCAGTTTCAGGTTTGCAGTCAAGTCTTGGGCACTGAAAAACAACACTCAAATTCAGACTAGTTCAGGACTGAAATAGCTCACCTGAAGACGGTTGAGAACATAGGTATACTTGCCCCAAAGTTCTGGCCTGCTTTCCACCAGAGACAGGTCTAGCACCCGGCGGATGCACCAGACACCGAAGCTGACAACGAGGGAGGCGCGCCAGATGCAGTCGTCTCCGCAGTTAGGCAGTACGCGCATGTACTGGATGTCTGCCTTATCACATGGTGGTTGCTGAGTATCACCAAGCAGCAGTTGGTTGTCACTGGTTCCTTGTTGCAATAGCTTCTCTACCGCAGCAACTTGATCAATCAGATCTTCGTCGCTGCCACCATTTTGCTTGAACAGCCACCCTGATCCTTCTAGCTTCAGGAGCTTCGAGATGCAGAATCTAAGAGACTGAAGAAGCTTCGCCTCAGACTCCTTGTAAGAGAAATCATCCTTGGTCATGCCACCCGATCTGCCTGCAGGGTTGAACTCGCTTTTAGTGAGCTCCGCACTCGACACACCAAACAGCTGCTCAAAAGGTTGCTTAGCCCAAAGGGATCTTGCACTTGGGTTTGGGCTTTGTTGCATTGAGAAGATATCCCCTGGGAGCTTAGGTGGAGAGAGCTCATCAAACGCCAAGGGAGCTGCAGGCCTGGCCACCGAGTTTGTATACTGAGATCTTTCCGATGCAAGCCTGCTAAGGTACGACTGGGATCCAATGGTACCACCACCCAACTTTGATTCATTCAACAGAGCACTCCTGCTTGCAGCAATCAGTGCAGATATGTCTGGTGAGCTGTGGTACTTCTTTGAGTAAGCTGATGAACCAGCATTTTCATTCCCGTCAAGAGTGGAAGGGACATAATAGGATCTTTCTGCCATCATAGTACCTATCCGGGATGTTGCTGCGATCTGTGAAGGAGTAGCTCCCAATGAAGCAAGCAAGTTCTGGTTACGAGCATGCATGACAGAATCGACATAGGTTGGCACAGCCGATGCAGAAGATTTTGGAAGTCGCTGTGGGTCCAATGGCATGCTAGAGTAAGGATTTCGATTAGCATTCATCTGTTTTAGGTATGATGCGAGCTGATACCCATGAATCGTTGCAGGTTGGTAGAATTGGTTGTTGTCTGCGTATGATGGCGTGCTAAAATTTGAATTTAATCTTGCACCTTGATCGAGTAAGCTGTTGCTTGAACTCTGCAGTTGGGTACTTGGTAACTGCATGCCCTGAGACCAGGCTGATGACCCAATGTTATTGCCCATCTGAAGCCCATATGTCAGATCCAAATTCGACATCTCATTCTTAGTAGACATCAGATCCCTTGAACTTCCCAAGAAGGCAGACCCTTGTAAATTGTCTCGTACCATGGGACTCTTCGGGATTTCATTAGCTTGACTGTCTGCTCTTACAGTTGAGCTAGGTGTTCTTACGTCTAGCCCAAGCAAGATGTCAAACCTTTTAGAGCTAGCTTCTTGAGTGAGTTTCCCATGGTAATCAAAGAGATGCCCCCAGAACTCATCAAGTATGGCTGCTAGTTGCCTCCTTGCTGCACGGCCCAAACCAGATAACCTCGAGAGACTCCCGCTGCCATTGCCTGCATCTGAGCCTTTCCCCCTGCTGAAGGTAAGAGATGGTGGGCCATCATCCGATGCACAGGAAGGATTATTGCCTCCAAGTGGCTTGTTGTCAGACTCTAGAATATTTGGAGCCTCCTTATCATTGTCCATCAAAAGAGCTGGTTCTACTTCAATATCCCTTTCGCCTGTGCTCTTGGAGTCCACACTCTCTACTGTACTTTCCTCAGCCACAATAGCATTAGAAATTGGCTCCAGAGGCTCTGGCCAGTCAACAGCAACAACTGATTTTGACTCTTCAGGAATGAATGATGGAGAGTGACAGGATTCAGGAGCGGTAGATGTATGAGCAGTGGAATGTTGAGAATCATGATCAGATTCTATAGCTGTGTCCGAACTATCAATGTAGTCCAGAGCTGATTTCAGACAATCCACAGGCTGAATCCTAGGAGAAGGGACAACATCAGATCTCTGATCTTCCTCATAGGTAACATTGCCCGCACAAGTCTCTTCTCTGTCTTGAGTAGTATTCAAGAGCTCTTTCTGAGAAGGCACAGACCATTCCTGCTGCAATTCAGCTTCATGGCTTCCTGATTTCAGTGGTGTAACAGCCATGTAGAGTGAAAATGCAACAGAGACACAAGCCACCGTGATGAGAACCGTAGATGGAAACACCACAGGGCTTCCAGTATTCCCTTTCAGAGTGTTCAGCCAACCACTGTCACCAAACAGCATTTCTGCCATAAAGATGATATTCGAAAACAGCATGAGGAGAAATGCAAGAAATGTTAATATCTCCAGATGCAAAGACACTCTGTGGGCACCCATTATCAATCTTGATGAGGCAACACGGAAGAGTGGCACGACTGATGATGGAAGGAGCATGGCCTGGATAATCTGGCAGATTATCAGTAATTGGTATATTCCTTCAGCACCTGCAACCTTAGCACAGTACAGAGCAGGAACTATGGCAAAAGCCTTCAGTATCAGATGATGTCCAGAGAGAGGAAGATTAATGCCAAACAAATGCTGCGAAATCACTTGGCTACCAATAGCAGATGTCAACGAGATGATGTGGCTAGAGAAGAGAAGAACCACTAGAAATATAGTTGGAGCCATAGGGTTTACAAATATCTGCAAAATGATAAATGTTAGGTAGTGTATATCACTTTAGGATTGCTACTGAAACAAGATTTCTTCAGCACCAGCTTAGCATATCACAGGGTGAAGTAGTAGGAACTATAGTACTAACCTGGTTCATTAGTTCTACAACATCTTGGAAGGTGAGAAGAAGGGTGTTAGTGGAATCAGCTGCTGCAGAGTTCATTAGAACATGATTCACCAGAAAAATTCCAGTAAAAATAAATAATACTGAAAACAAGTGATCATGAAATAAGGCACCAACAGCAAAGGCAGATCTTTTCTGACCCTGAAAAGAGATTATTTGATTAGCAAACATGGATACAAGCTGAAAAAAAAAGACAACCAAAAGCATAAGACACAAAGGGCAATGAAATGTAGCTGGTTTTGCTGTCAAACTCACTAATGCTATCCATTTTTATACACTTTAGGTAATATATATATCATATACTAGCAAACCTAAGGCAAAGACCTCATGAACACTAGACACTTACCATTAGTGAACCAAAATATGTACACGCGAAAGTAAAAAAGAAAACAAATAGAAATAGGCCACAGTTTTAGGGAACAAACATTTACTCAAGGAACATTCTAGATTTGTGCTTGTCAATCAGAAATAGTATTCCGCATGTGGCACAATAGCTTATTAAATACTATAGTTTCATTGGCCATAATTGTTAGTTAAGCTCCAAACTGGATTAAGTGAGAACAAATTCTTTCACTAACTAACGATGAGCATGCCTAACATAATGCTGCAATTCGCTAGAAGATGTATCTTGGTGTTTTGAAATTAAGTCAATGAACATCACTTCAACTCTGCGCAAACAATTGAAATAGGACAAACCATATCTTTTTCAGTTGGATACAGCGTACCCACAAACCACTGGATCTATTAGAACAAAAACATTCTCCACTACATCCGATATTAGACTGGTATAACTAGTCTAATATAGTGACCCTTGCTATCAGTTTGGAATTTCTGAACTGTTCGAAACACTAGCAAAGCTAGCAACATGTGTCATTGTGTGGTGTAAATAATTGTGGCATGCCATTGACCATTGTCCACCAAATGCCCAAACCCCCCTCACCCCAAATGCATCAAATCAAATATAATTCTAACTATGTAATGGGCACAAAGAAGCATCATAATTTACCTGAACAACTGATGAATGGATGTAAAAGTTGTGTGCCATTACGTTTGCACCAAGAAGAGCCATCAGAGAATAAGCACTTTCACCACTGAGCTTGGGGAAAATTACATTCGTTGTCAGAGGAATTTGTGGTTGGCTGACCAATAAACCAAGAACGTAGCAAAGAAGCGCAAAGCCTGCAATGCAAGCATTTAATGTCCCCACCATCTTCTTTCCCTAGAATAGGTATATGAAAGTAATTGACAAATATTAACTCCAAATCAGATTACAATATAGGTTTGAAGTTTTCTATATGAGATAATCTTCTTCTTTACCAGGTGTGATATAGCATATGGTAGCAGATTAGGAACAACGGTTGCAAAACATATCCCAGTGATGAGATCATCATATTCAAATAGAAGATTGAATCCAAGTGCTATCCCAAAAATCTGAAATTGCCAGATATTACAATCAGAACAAAGCATGTGCAAAACATGCAGCATTTATGGCTGAAATTTCTCAGGCTCAGATCTCATATTAAATATCGAAAAGAGAAGAGGCTGAAAATACCATCGTCAATTCTGATGTCAACAAGGACAATCCTGCTTGAACACCCAGAAAGATGCATGTTGGCCTGCTGTATTCTTGGTGGCAGATCTTTGTTCCATGTGGAAAACACAAAAATGTCAGCAACCTCGAAAGAATTTCACGAACAAAACGAATAACATAGAAGGATCAAAGCACACTGTTTTACAGGGAAAGTTGGTTTTTCCCCCTCCGCAAAATGGCCAGCTAGAAAGGGAACTTGAGATGAGCAAAAGTTCCTTTTCCACCATTTCCGAAAACAAAACACCTCCTTTCTTTGTTTACTATCACAACATATACACCATAAGGGCACCAAAAAAAAAAGAATAGGATTCTTTTGCACAAGTATAGTTCCAAGTGAACCATCATTTTCTTTATCAACAGGAATTCACATACGAGATTTAGGACCTTCATTATGAAGATGCTTTTCCTACTCATCAGAATTCGCTCAGAGGCTCAATTCAGTATCAAAAACCCATCATCATTTCTACCATTTGCGAAACGACAAACCGATGTCGATCAATTGACTGACGATGATGAGGATGATGATGAATCATTCACCACTACAAAATCAGACAAAACAAAAACATCAGGTGAGAAGCATCTCGAAATACCTCGGCGAGGCTCCTCCCGGTGACCGTGCCAATGCAAGCCGCGAGATACTGGCACAGGATGGCCATGAAGTTGAAGAGGAGGGCCAGCAGCACGAGGTCAAGGCCGAACCGTGACCCTGCCTCCACCGCGGCCACCCATTTCCCGAGGTCAATGTACCCAATCGAGATCAGCAGCGCCGGCCCGAGCGCGTGGAACAGATGTGGCGCGCCGCCGCCGGTGACTCCGCCGCCGCCGCTCGCCGGAGATTCCGAGCTACGTAGCTGCTGCCCATCCATGGCGCCGCAAAAAAAAAAAAAAAGATTTTCTTTTCCTCCTCTCCTAACCCAGCTTAGTCACCGAGCAAGAAGACGAACTGTGTACAGAATCTGATCTCTTCTGCTGAATTCCTTGCCGATGAACTCCACCACCAATCATGGAAATCTGCAGATTAATTATGGATATTAGAGAGAGAGAGAGAGAAAAAAAAGATTTGGATTAGAGCAAAGTGAAAAACTCAACGAACAAGAACAAAAAAAAAATCAATCCAAGAAAGTGAAGCTCATCACCAGCAACCTCAAGAGAGAAAAAAAAAACCCCAATCGAACTCGAGATGGATCTGATCTTCTCCAAGACTACGCCATCGCGGCGAGGCTAAGAACAGCAGAGAGGAGCCAAGAACAAGTAGAAATTGCGGGAGGAAATTGGGGGAAACCGGGGAGGGAATCGCGTGGGGTGAAGTAATGCAAGAATCGTACCTCCTCCTGTTCTTGGGCAGCTAATCCCCGGGGTTAATTAGCGGAAAATCGCAGCTTTTTGCCTCCCCTTTTTCCCCGGGTCCTCCTTATCTACGGGGAGAAGGGGGAGGAGGAGGAGGAGAAGAAGCTAGCAGAGAGCAGCAGAGGCTTTTCTTTCACAGCTTTCAGCTTTCTCTCTTTCTCTCTCCTCTCCCTAGCTCTTTTTCTTCACTATTTTTTTTATTTTTTTTTGTTTTCTTAAAAAAATTTCTGATCTTTTTGTTTATATTATTTGGAAGATTCTGTGCTTACTGTGTAGTGTTGTTCCCCATGTTCAGCAGTGGATGGACTTGGTCCATGCACCAGTCAGTGATAGTCCTACATGCTAGTACTACTCCCTTTGTTTAATGTTAGCATGTTTTCTGAATTGTCAAACCTTATATTTTATATAAAAAGTTTCTACTTACAAGTTTTGTTAATATTAAATATTTTTTTAAAAAAAATACTTTATAATAGTAAGTACTCCACTTAAGTAATTATGCATTAATGGTTATCTTCATTACCCTATTAGAATGAGCTGAGTTCGTTCAACTGAAAAGAAGGAAGCCTAAATGAGAAGTCCCTCTTGGGAATAATGTGACTTTACTTTTATGGCTTCTCAGTCACCAACAATGGATGTAACTAGTACTAATACAACTATCACTTAACAGTGTCTAATTAAGTCAAAGACATGGAAGACTTTCAGCAATTGAAGTATGGTAATGAACTTGCTACCATGTGTGGTGTGGTGTGATGGTGCTCTCCAATAATTCAAAAGGCACTGTTATTAATTAGAAATAAGCAAGGTTGCATAGCAAAGCAACAAGATTATAACATTATCACTTTTTATTGGTACTTTGCCCATGTTGTGCTTTCACTGTTGGAGAGGACTTGAAAGTGTCAACGTGGCCAATCCTTTTAATTTGCAAGCTAGCTTTGAGGTTGACAGTAGTAATGCTGTTTGGCATAGGCTACTTTTCGCATTCCCACGTTTTGGATATGCATTTTTTCTTTATTTTTGGAAGGCATGAGATGAAAGTTTGTATTGTTGTTGTATGAAATTGAATGAAGGATCTTTTTTTCCGTGACATAGTTTTGGGATTTAATGAGTTTGTTAAATATTTTGATCTGAATCTGAAAATTTATTAAGAGCTCAACCGGAAGTCTCACTCAATATTATAAAAAAAGGCAACCTCTGATGATTAATTTGTAGCAGTCATCTCTAACAATTCGTGCAATAATTAGATAAGGTCATTAATGACGGTTTAAACACAATTAATGAAAGTACACTTTACCAAAAAAAATAACCTCTAAACTTTCATGGTTATGAATCTTTTTAGAGATAAGAGAAAATCACTACTGGTTTATGTCTTCAAGCCAAAATATCAATCGGCCGACTTGCAAAACTGTTGAAAATCAATTGAAATGGTTTTTGTAAGACTATTAAAAACTAGATGTCGGGGTTAACTGTTTTAAGCCTCCTTAGCTCTAAAAGAATCATGGCGCCATGCATGATATATATGATTCACAATCAGTCAGAGTTTTCCCCAAAAAAGAATAATCAGCTAGTAATAAATACAATTTTTGAAATAAATATATGAAATTGGCAACAGTGATCAATAAAACTACATTGTACTAATAAAAGCGAGGAAAGGTCGCTGGCTATGGTAGCATTACCTGAGAGAAAAGGTGGTAGCACATATCAAGCATAAAGTTACTAGTCAATCACGTCGCGAGAAATACATATCACTAGTTCACAACAATTGTACCTATTGGCTCACTATAATTCAAGAAAATAAATCAAATACACAGTATTAAGCTACACTAATATTGATTGAAATCGAATAAACCTTAATTGGGAATTTTGGGATCATATCAGTCGATCAAACGATGGCATATGCATGAAGCACGGCTGAACCGTACATATGTTCATTAGGATCTCAACAATACTGAATAATAAATAGGCTAGTTATCAGTTTAATTTCTATAATTACATACGAGTTCCGTTCTAATTTCTATATAGGGAATTAAAAAACTTAAAACTCATGACTTGGATCGACTTGTAGTGAGCTCGCCTCGGACCAATTTTAACTTGTAGTAAGCCAAGCTAGACGTTTTGCTCGTGAGCTTAACGAGCTAGCTCACGATCGAGCTTCACGTTTAGATCGTTAATACAAAAGATCATCATTTCTTCGTCTAAGTATGGCTGATGCATAACTAGTGCTTTATTTACATCCAAACTAGTTGTATTTAGTGAATCTCCATTAGTTAATGTTTATTATTAAGTTTATATATGAATACTAAATTAAAAATTGAATGTGGTATCAATGCATTAACAAATTACCTAACGAGTTTAACAAACCAGCTCGCAAGTCAAACAGAGCTAGGCTTTTAACGAGTCGAACCTAAGAGCACCCGCAATGGTAAAGTAAGGTGCTATCTATAAAACATGTATACCTCAACAATAGACTAGATTAATAGTAAACCACTTCAATGGTATGTCTACATGAGTATCTATAGCTCTCTAATCCATTGCCTCGTTTTTCTCTATAGACTATCTCCATGTTAGTAGATAGCTTTGCTCTCTCTCTTCATTTAATCTCTTCCAAGTAGGAAAATATGCTGACATGGATCTCTTGTAGAGAGCTTATAGATAATCATTGTAGGTGCCCTAACTAGCTCGTTAAGATAAGCTCGATCGAGCGACTTATTTCCTTAAAAAGAGTCTCTTTATCCACCCCTATTTGTACACATGTTTGTGCATGAATTTCTTGTGTGGTCAACGCAAAGCAACAAACAAAGAGTACAGTAGACAGGCTACATGTGACAAAGGGTGTATGGACCGGGTTCCTGCAGGTGCATCAGCAATCAGCTGGTGTGATTCGATCAGTGGAGGAGATCCCACGCGGGCGGTGCCCAATGGACGGCGCCGATGCACTCTCTCACTACCCTCTCTCCAATGCACATGTCCTCACCTCATAGGGTCCCAAACATTGTAAAATTTATACCATTTTATATATATGTATGTATATTTGTGCGTGCCACATATATATATATATGTACAGTGCACATCATCTCTGACCCACTTTGTTTTTCTTCTACTCCATTATTCTAGTCACCACACATATCATCCTTCCCTATTTTTTTTATTTGGACCAATTGGATTGTGCCACCTGTCCATGCCTTGTACTGTACAGCATTGCCTTGTTTTATGGGCACAGATTATATGTGATGGTCTTCATTATTGTGTTTAAGGAACTGAGCTAGAGCTTATTATTGGGCATGGGTTTATATATTACTTTCATAGTTGAGTAGAGGAGGGATGTGTGTACAATAATTAAGTTACTACATTAATTATATTTATGCGTGGTAATCGGGATGCATATTTTACTATAATGATTTACCACATTAATTATAAGTTACAATATTAATTAAATTGTGATACAGACAAAATGGTACTAGAAGGAGATATGTGCAATAATATACTACATTAATTATATTTATGCATGGTAACCGGAATATACATTTACTATATTAATTTACTACATTGATTAGTATAAGTTTCTATATTAATTATATTAATTGTGATACAAACAAAATGGTACTAGGAGAGATGTGCAATAATATACTACTTACATTAATTATATTTATGCATGGTAACCAGAATATACATTTTACTATATTACTTCTTTCGTCTCGTTTTAAGTGCATTTGTGGGTTTTTGTGTTCAACGTTTGACCATATGTCTTATTTGAAAAAAAATTTTAAAAAATAAGCCATGCATAAAGTGCTATTCATGTTTTATGATCTAATAACAATAAAAATATTAATTATAAAAAAATTAAATAAGACGGACGGTCAAACGCTATACGCAGAACCCACAATTACACTTAAAATGGAATGGAGGGAGTAATTTACTACATTGATTATACTATATTAATTATATTAATTGTGATACAGATAAAATGGTACTCCCTCCGTTTCATATTGTAAAACTTTTTGGTCTTATCTAGATTCATCCATCGATCAGTGTGTATGTTTTGTATATGTGTTTAGATTCATTAACATTTATATGAATTTGGGTATTTCTAGAAAGTCTTACATTGTGGAACGGAGGAAGTACTAGAAGGTGAGATGTGTGCAACAAGTTACCATAGATTGATTACTGGCAATAATAGTAAAAGATGTGTTTGATCAAGTATATTTATGTATATGGTACCAGCTGAATGTATATAATAAACAGTATGGTAAAACATTTGTTTGGATATTAATAAATGGATGAAGATGAACTAAATAATTGTAAAAAAATTTAATTAACATGCTGTTCGAGTATTACTAACAAGTGGTAAATGATATAGCAGTTCCGCCCAAGCAATATATATATAAGGTGCGGATGACTACAAAGACTACCGATTAAGATGTCGATATCGAGAATCTCATATGATGGAACTAAAAACATTTAAAGAAATACAAAATGGAGTAGGATGACCAATCCTAGAATACCATCAAACTTATTAGTATTGCAGTAATATAATGAATTTATCTAGGCAATGTTGACAAAAGAATGAAACGCTCCAATCCCAGAAATGAATACCCAAGGGCGATTAATTGCATTGAAATCCTAATAAGATCATCTAATCCCAAAAGGCAATCAACCCCTAGCTTATTATTCCTCCAATCATATAGAGACATGTACTCTGGACATATCGATATGGTCTTCAAAATACCACATTGTACACTAGCTTTGATTATCACATATATTAGAAAAAAATCAAAAAATTGAAATTAAATTTATCATGAAAGTGCATTTTTTATATAAGTACTAACACAAATGACTCTCATGTATCCAATGAAGCAAAATGTTTGAGAACATATCGGTATGAAATTGTACAAGAGTTTGATCAAAGTCATATTCAAATTAATGAATATTATTTATGGGCTATGGCTAGAAAGAACATTATTATATACACTAAAAGCCCTCATTCATGCTAATTATCAATAGATTTATTGACATGTTAATTAATAAGAGATTCTACATGAAAAAAATAAGCTCTCTTCTTAATCATATTTTGTACCACAAGGTGAGTTCCGACCTAATTGAATCTCTAGCTATAAACCAGAATTGCTGCTTAATTAATTTGTGCACCATGTCTAATTCAAC